TAGATAATTCCTGTCCCTAAGGACAGGTAACAAGTCTTCCCACTTCCTCTGTTAAAAGCTTTCACCTCCTTAAGCAGAAGATCTCTGCATGGGAGAATTTAGACTGTGCACTGACTGCTTATCTAAGGTGTAATATTTCCATCAGTCACTCAGATTGCAGCCAATAACCAAACAGCAGATACTCTCAAAATGCCAAAATACTGAAAGGCTCATGGTGAACCACTTTGTGCAAGGATTGTGCTCAGTCTTGGCACCAAATTCATGAAGAAGCTTATCTTTAAGACCTACAAAGCTCCGTGACATTCAGTGGCAAATCAAAGAACAGTGTAACTTAATTTTACAGTTGTTGATGATCAGGAGGCAGCAAGGGTAATGCTCTTCTTTCCTCACCAAGAGGAACAGCATACCTGCAGCCAACATTTTACCAACAGCTTGGAAGTAAAACACATGAGGAAAATTAAAGCAGAAAGTTTCAGGAGTCAGTTTTAAATTTATTAAGGATATTCTTCTCCAAAATATTTGCAGCATTATGAAGATGACTTTATAAACAAGTCTCTTGAATGTCTTTGATTGTATTAAACAGGATACAGTGCGTCATACAAACACTGCGGGACAGCACAAAGCAATTGTTAGACCAGCAATACAAAGAGCCCCCATGTGGAGCAAGAAGTGTGGCAGACTATGGCATTTCATGTTTCCAAATTTTCTTTGGGAAAAACAGGAATAACAGAGGGTTTCATAGATCAGCAGGGTGATTGTTCAAGACTAACCTATGATGTGAAGTGGCAATCTTCTCCAACAGCAATAAAACAAAAATGAACATTTTTGCCAGATTAAGCAAAAGCAAGATCTCAAGACTCTTAACTAGCAGAATTACCTTGAAGTCCTACATAAAATAAAACAGCTACCATGGCATGTCTGGTCCAGGACTCAAAGGAATGCAAGAAAAACAAACAAAGCTGTTTGGATGTAAAAGTAAGATGAGCAAAAGCATCAAGAAATGTTCAATAAAGTCTCTGTTACATCATCTGGAAAAGAGGAACACCCAGGTCAAGAGGCAGGACACATGATTCCTAATCATCTTTAAAGACAGTATTTTGAAGACGTAGGTGTGTCTGCAGACATGGGTCTCTTGTGATGGTGGAATCTCTCCTCCCATCTCCCACAAAGAACATGCTAGCTTGACTCACTCTAGGAAAAAGCTTTTTAACACATTAGAATGACAGAATTTGGAGTGATCACCTTATTTGTCTCACTTTGCTTAAAGACTGCTGAAATACAAGTTGGGATGAAAGATTTTTTTTTTTGGCTACTTAAAAAGAAAAAAAAATAAAAAGAGAGAGTGACAAAGGTCTCTTTTCAGAACAGCACTTTTCAAAGTGAGAAGATGTCAATGCCCTTCCAATTCACACAAGCCTATCACATAGGCTTGTGTTCTCAGATTCATGCCAAGTTGTTAGTTAAAAACTACACTTCTACATTTCTTAAAGAGAACATTTCACATTGGGGAAAACTTTAATATATGTTTGAATTAACAGATATGGTCAAATCAAGTGTATGTTAATATTGCTTTCTGTCTGAAAGCTGTGATAAAAATCACAGTTCCAAGTTCTTGACAGTCAGTGTGTTTCATCCTAAGCACTTCATGCAGGACTCAAAGTGGGAAAAAACCCACAGGTAGTGATGGAGAGAGCTCTTACTCAAAACCTAATTTTCACCTCTGACATCAGCAACAGTGAGGCACAAATTACTGGCAAAATCAATTCTTGAATAAGTTCTCCCTTCTGTCAAGTTTTCCACAATAAAGAAGTCCCTCTTTAAGCTCTCTATGGTTAGTTTGATTTAGAAGAATAGGGAACAAACTCAGGTTATTGATTCTTACCTTCAGTCCTGTTTTTTCATCATCACTACCATTATTTGTAGATGGTGTTTCATCCCCTTGCCTGGAAACCAAGACAAAATCTTCACTGTTAAGAGTGGATACCGAGTCTGAAGAGACACTGATTTTTCCAACAGAAGCCTTGTCATCCATGACTTAAAAAGGAAGTTCGATTCATGAATGAGATTAAATATGTTATAAACTCCTGAAAAACAAAAATCATAAAAATACTTATATAAAACTTCATGCTAAAACGCTCAAATGCTTCTTTTCAGAACCCTGCTGATTAGTTTTATAAAGTAACACATCTGACAGCACAACCAGGTACAGCTCTTCTGTCAGTGTTCGCTCACGGTCCTGCTTTGGTTTTCCTGAGAAGCACACTATGATTGGAACACTGGTTTCCACAGCTCACAAAGGGGAAGTTAGTAAATCTTTTTGCAGTATTTCATGATTATGTCAGGCAACATTTTCTACACACAACGCAAACAGAGCCTGGGAACATACACTACACCTGCTGACAAAGGATTCCTATCGAGGATAGAACTATAAAGCCCATGTACTTCCTTCAGGTAACCTGTCTGCCTTCACCTGGGTTCATGCAAACATTACTTTTGTAGCCCTTGGAGCTCACTGCATGCTGCAGTCACATTCTTTTCCCCCACGAGTCAGATCTAACTCTTGCTATTTTGTGATAAGGATGCTCTAAAACCTTGGGACATCAAGCACTTTATAAGTCTGTGCTAAATTTTCTGTACTGTAAGGAAAAATAAAAGAAAAGACTTCCAAGAAGCAGGAAGAAGAGCGTAGGCTGGATCAGTACGGAGAATCAGAGCCAACAGAGGACTTTAAAAAGCTGGAACTGGCACTGAGAGGCATTTGAAGAAATGAACAAAAGGTGAAGTTCAGCTGCACACCTTGAACTCTACAGCACAGATTCTCAGAATCCATGGCTCGAAACAGACTGCCGTGATAAAAATGGGTGATTTGATTTCCCAGAAACCCAAATATACCCTTATCACAATGGCTCAGGTCTCTGTACTCCCAAGCATGACCAAACCCAAGGGCTTTTGCAGACTCAAGTTCTGCCTTCCACTCAGTGGAACACTGTCCCAACCTGGCTTCCAACAGAGCAGCCAGACAAGGGAGAAACCCGGCACAGCCCCACGCCCAGCTCATCGCATTCCTCACTGACCAGAGAACAATGCACCCAAAGCTGCAAAGCCTGCTTTTGTCTCCATCAATACCCCTCTCCACACAGCCACCGACAGGAGATGGAATCTGCCAGGAGGACAACTTTTTTTTTTTATTTACTTTGGGTTATTTTTAACCTGATTACTTTACCAATCCTGAAACTTGTTTTGCTGAACAACTGAAGCAGTGCATAAGAGGAAGAACAGATGTGGGTTCTTCAGAAATATACCTGTGATTACTTGGTTTCATTCTCAAAAGCATGTAAGGTATTTAGATAATCTTTTCAAAACAATTTGAAGATCCACTGACTCTCAATGAGAATTACTGGCTGCAAAATTTAAGTATTTTGACAAGTTTTACTCACTGTATGTGTGTATCTGGCATTACTCACATATATCTTAAAGGCAGGGCAGAGGTCTCATTTTTAAAGATGCTTTTGTTTAAATAATTCATATCAAAATACAGAAGTTCCCTATTGCAGCATCATCTGAAAACAACTAAATCAAATATTGGAACACGGAATAAAAATAAGCTTCAAATACTTAATATCCCTTTGGATTTACTGTTTTCACCCAGTACAAACTCAGCTGCCACACTAAGACAGCACGAGTAGCAGAGTGGGCTTTGATCACCAGCAGCTGTACAGATCCCTTAGGCAAGGATCAATTTAGCAATTTATTTTGGTATAACGCAGCTCTCTCTAAATAAACACCTATTTCCAAAGTCTCTCAGTTTGACACCTCTCACCAACACTAACTCCAAATAAAGAAGAAGAGTGCTGTGCTTTTCCATACTCCTTTTTTCAGAGGCATGCTGTGAGCAGACCCCGGAGCAGACCCCAGAGCACCCCTGGACCCCAGCGCCCCGCTGGCTCAGCCAAACCCCAGCAGCAGTTTCACAACACAGAATTGCAACAGCAGAAGGTCCCAATTAGCCCCATGCTGCCAACCTTACACCGAGGAAATGTCTGACTGAAATTACACAAGCTAAGAAGCACAGGAAAGGGGACAATGCACTAGAGGACTGTAAGAAGCTTTTGTTTATTAGTGATGTATCAGCAGGCAGGCTGTGACCCTGTGCCTGAATCAGCCACAGAGTTCCACCAGATCAACACTCAAGTAGTCAAGGTGCATCAGCACAGTCTTAAAGTATGAAAAATGCTAAAACTCTGCCTGAAGTTAACCAAAATGTCCATATCCCCACACTTTGCTTTGCATATAAGCTTTATTTCTGCTGTTCCTTGCTATCTTTTGTTCCACAGATTACCACACGGATCATTTTACCTGAATCAGAAAACTCCCAATGGCAGAACCAACAACAGGAAGCCTATGAGCTCATTAAAACATGGGCCAGCCTAGAAGGGCACACTTCAAAGACCAGCAGAGCAATTAAATGCAGCAGGCTTGTGACTCCTCTGGATTCAAAAAACAAGAACAAGCCACAGCAGTGACAGTGCTCTTGAGAAATCCACACAGTGTACACCTAAAAACTGAAGTCCTGTTCTCACAGGTTAGAGGTAGGAGAAAAGACCCCAGCCAAGTGCAGATCTCAAGTTCTACCATTTTTCAGAAGACATCAGTGTCTCACCCCTTACAAGGAAAGAGACTTTGGTTTGTTTCACCATAAAACATAAGCTTTTGAATCCAGCATAGTTTCACTCCTGACACAAAACTACACCATAACAATGCAGTATTTGCCTGAAGCTGTTTTTACACCCCTATGGGAGACAGAGTGTCTAGGTAAAATGCCTACTCAGAGGCAAACTTTCAACACTTATTCCTTTGCTTGCCTGTGCAATAAAATGGGCATCCCGAGCTCACCTCACACAACAGACCATTAGAAAAAGCTGCAAAATGAGAAAGTCAGCACAGCTGGCTACTGGGTCCTGCTTTCACTTTTAGTTAAAATTCTAATTCCCAATGCAATTCACCTTCACTACTGTTATACAGTGAGTCCAAGAATCACACTATCTTTCTAAAAAACATTCCTGTTTATTTTTAAAGCAACTAAAAACCAGTAGCAAGCTACCTTACTCCCTCTATTCAAAATAACATGCAAAGGAACAGCGAAGACACCATTCACTATGCTAAAATCTCAAACAACTGGAAAACAAACTCATAAAAGATCAAGATTAGCTACATAGACTTATAAAATATTTATATCTTTTACTCTCCTACCCTCTCATAAGTATTTGGCATCTGACCTGCAACTTGTGATCAAAATTTCCCTTTCAAGTACTGCCAGAATGAATTTAAAAGAGCTTAAAGCAAATAGTATATATATAAAAAAAAAAGGAAAACCAGAACATCTTCCATTTTACATTACTGTAAGAGACAAAGTCTTGAATGCTACCTTGAGACACGTGCAACAAGTAAAGCAAGGCACTTGTAACTATGGCTGCTCTCACTCCACCTCCAGGGGATGCCCCTTTCCTGGTTTCAGGACACCCACAGCCACAGGGGATGGCAGAGGGTGAGCAGTAAAACGACATTTCCCTGAATGAAGTTCTTGGACTGTTTAAAACAGCAGCTACCTTTAAGTCAACAGATGTAGCACCCTTAGTACTGAATTTCTAGGGCAACACAACACAAAATATACTTAAGGTTGGGGGTTTTAGGGCACAAAAGAGAATAAGCATGAGAACAAGCATGCAGACTAAAGAGAAAAAGAGATTTTTTTTCCCCCCATTTTCTCAGCTTTTGTACTTCAGTTGCAGTTCCTATAGTGATTCCACAGAAGTTACAGCAAATCTGAAGAACAAGCGTGCAGACTAAAGAGGAAAAGAGATTTTTTTTCCCCCCATTTATATCTTTCTCAGCTTTTGTACTTCAGTTGCAGTTCCTATAGTGATTCCACAGAAGTTACAGCAAATCTGATGAAGAATGCATCAGATATAGAAGAACAATGCAGCAATATTAGCTACATTACCAAGGAATTGTATAATTCAAGAAGCTGCCTTGAACAACAAAGTTAGAAAGCTTGGCATGCAAAACAAAATTCATTCTTCTGTCCCCTAAAATATAAAAACACTGTGTTAAAAAACAAACAAACAAAAAACCAACACCAAACAAGGAACTGTTTTCTTGACACATGCAGTCAAGACACTGAGGTGATGGATTCAATGCAAACTGAGTCACTGAAAGTCACTGTGGCTGGAAAAGACCTTTAAGGTCATCAAGTCCAACCATTCACCCTGCTCTAACCTCCTCTATCACACCCTCCTCCAAGCCATACCCCCAAGCACCACATCTACATGGCTTTTAAACACATCCAAGCGTGATCTAATAATGTACCTTCTGTTTCTATTCCTCTGCCTTTATGCACAGCTTAACAACAAGCAGTACAGTTCAACTTAAACATGCAAAGTTCTACTTTCCTAGTTTTCATCATGAGTATCTCAGTGTGGGTGAGAAATGGAATTTGTAGCAGAGTTCAGCAGCTTTAGAGTGTACTTTGCAAAGCTGTGTTATGACAAGCACACTGGGGTTCTTCAGGACTCAGCTCTGTGGCAATTGTGGGTTTTTTACCTTTTCAACTCACGCAGTGTACACTTATTTTTCAGAAATACCCAGGGTGTCCTGACAAGAGCCTGGAAATGCTAGAGCTCAGTGCCATCACTCCAGGTGGCCATGCCAGGTGCTTTCATCAGAGCAGCATAAGAAATAGAAGAACAAAAATGATGTCACACTGACAGACACATGGGAAAGGAGCCACAAGTATTCTGCACTCCAAATGAAGCAAGAAAGCCAGTGGAATACTGCATGTGAAAATTAATATTGAGGATGACTAAAGAGAGCAATTAATAGAAAATAGCAACTACAATGCTAATTTTTCTGTTCATTTTAAATCACCCTGACAGCTACAGATGTTCCCACTAACCTCGAGAGTCAGACAGAAAAAAGATGTCATTATTTGGAGATAAGGCTGCCTCAAATTTCACCCTCTTCTCAAGAGCAGAGAAGTGCAGGTGTCAAGAAGCTGAGTGAATCATGACACACTACGCCAGACCAGG